TTCGTTATAGACCGGTAGTTAATGAGTCTTGAAACACAAGCATGAATGCATTTTTCGTTTGGCTGGTGTTAAGCTATTTCTTTTCAACAAGATCTGGGAAAATATTCTTCAATTGAAATCATGAACACATCTGAGTTAGATAGTTGGAGACTCCTGAAAAGTCACTATCCATGACCATGTTACCGGGGATCGAACCTGGGACCCTCAGTTGCACACACGAAAGCTCAACATCTTGACCAGTGAGACAGTATCCAGTAGAATCCATAACTACCTACAGTCAGTCTGCAACCGCCATACTAATATGGTTCACCGTATATCCTGAAAACGAGTGTAAACTTCTACTAATCCAGCTGAATAGGGAGCTAAATATACTGACAATTCATGACATTATCAGTAATATTTTACAATAGTATATGAATAAATATTTGGTATAGCATATACATTTTAGAACACATACCATGATATACTTCGGTTAAGCGCGGTAAATTTGTTTCTTTTCAAAGATGTCATTTACTGATAACAAGAAACTGTTATTTAACAGACAATAGTCTATAGTAAAATTAACAACAGCTGCGTCACTATCAATCTATCAAGAGATTATAGTATACAAGTGAAGATTTATAGTTGTTTGGAAAATGATGTAAAACAGTGAAATAAAGAGACTATAAATACTTTGTACAAAAATTAATAATCCATTTGACCAATGTAAACAAACATGCAAGTAGTCATAACAGTGTATCAAGTTAGAACCATGCTGAAATTTAGTAATTGATCATAGAGTTCATATTTGAGTTAACGAAATTACATAGCCTATAATCAGTAAAATTTATTGACCCATATTGGTGTTGAGGCGGTTCAATTAACCTTGCAGACAAGTTTAAAGGGCACTTTATTTGGAAATACATGGTGAGAATGTGCGGTGTTTGAAGAATAAGCTATTTATCGATTTACTTTCGTTTTTAATAATTAAAGTGATTAATGCTTGGAGATGCATTTATTAAGAATATCATTTATGTGATCGACAGAAAAGGTTCCCGAGGACCAAGTAAACATATAAAAACATATAAAGGTGATCAAAAACACTAGTTTATATTTAAATTATTTTCATCTATTTATGCTTATAAGCAAAGATGGATGATGGCTAGCAGTGGAATCCATGACGCGCGTTCCGTCCCATTTGCGACTCGTCAGCTGGATATATCTGCATCCCAGAGTTGATGTTCCGTCTATCCAGTTCATCGGCACTTGTTCTTCCTCCCAAATCTTCCTGAGTAGATTTTGAACCATGCTTGCAGTTAGTTCTATGTCTGACTTTAGTGCTTCGGCTGATATAGTGTCAGGTCTTAGTACTATTCCACTCTTGATTTGATTGATGGCCATCCTGATTTCTTCGATCATTGGAGGAGTGACTTCTATGAGAAGGTCTGTGTATACTGTTTCGATGTTCGTTAGATTCAGTGAGGCTGGCCTATCCAATAGTCATTCAAAGTGTTCCACCCACCTTTTCTGGAGTTCTCGAATCTCTGAGATTGGCTTGTTTTTTTGTCCTTGACTTGTCTGTCTAGTTTACAATATTTTATTATGTATTACAATGCCCTGGTATGGCCGAGAGTGGGGTGGGCCCACCCTCCCTCTCGAAATGCTCTCACACGGCCACGCGTATATAGCCTCTACCAGGGAAGTCCTACTCATTGCCTTCTCGTGGCATTACTGTAGTTTACGAAATTGAGAGGACGAAAAGCGAATGTCCAGCGCTTTAACCGGATCCCAAACTGATGGTGCACATGGGCTCCAGTATCCTGAGGGAACAAATGGCGTATGAACCAATCTTTGGTCACTGGCTACCATGGGACTGCATCTCCTCACGATGCTCCATTGCCTTGTGGGTCAGACCTTTAGGTCCAAGGCTCAGGGTGTGGCTCCCTAAGAAAACCACCTGCTTCGGTTTGGGCAACCGGGCAGTATCCCAGCCCTCACACAAATCGAATGATTTATGTGGCGCATATGTATTTGGTGCCTCCTTGTACCAATATCTATGTGTTAAAAATAAATAAATAATAATAATAATAATCTTCAAATTCACTCATGAATGTGTAGAAATTAGAAGAGTGAATTATCAGGTTACATAAACAGCAAATTCGAAAATCCACTCATTAATTAATGTCGTTTTATTGTGAAATTGCCAAAATAATAAATAAACAAGGGAATATAATATTAAATGTACAGAAATGAAGATACGAAACGTAATAAAAATGTAACGAATTATATCAGAGTGAAAATTTTGGAATTTATAGCAAGTTCAGCAATTATAAGAAAACGAAGTATAAATGAAATTGTATCGTAGAAAAAGGATTTTAAGCTATTTTAACGAATGGGTTAGTTAATAATCATCAACTTAGGATCATGAAGGAATGTGTAATGGTATAAGCTGCCGAACAATCACATCAGCATAGTTGAACACAATCGAAAAGCCGATAAATACAAGATGTAAAATAATATTGAAAGAGGCAGAAGTAAAATGCATTTCAAAATGAAACAAGTGAGATTGAACAATAGAAAGTTTGGAATGATATCTACATGGAGATTTATAGAAGGATGGATAGGGAATAGAACTTTGCCAATTCACCCAAAATAGCTGACCAGGTAACACGAGTATCCTGTATATCTCAATAAAGAAGATTACATTTACCGACAATGGATAGTTCAACATTTAAGGTATTCATGAATTAATATCATGATTTGCTATGGTCGTCCAATTTTTTTATATCAATCTAAACCTATCCCAGTCAGTCATGATAAGCGATAAATTCATTAGCTTAAATCTGAATCTCGTGATTTAAACATATGCATACAAATAAAGAGGATCAGCATGTTACAACCAAAAAATGCAATAACATACTTTATTAGATGAAAAATACAAGATTCGACTAATGTTACAAAAAAACAATGATTGTTACCTATTCAAGAAATTCTTATGCACCTGTGTGAATTAGAATACCGAAGTGTGGAGACAAGCCTGTTATGTATAAATATATGTAATTAGTAAGTGATAATATATAACACAAAGTCTGATTACGCAATTCTCGTACAACTGGGTAGTATTAATTAACGTACTTCTTTTAATTAGCTAATTTTAAAAGGTTTTTTATTAGTTATTTAACAAGATTACGTCTGATATTTTTTTAATATAAAATTTGAAAATCTTTACCTTGTGAGGAAACAATTTGTGAACCGATTTGGAAATATTGTTAACATGACAGTGGAAAATCATGATTTTATAACAAGTCCCCATATATATGTATATATATACCCCAATGGTTTACAGGATGAGTTCGATCATGAGACTGAAGACTCTAGATCTGATGATTCGAGATAGGGTTTTGAATGTATGTGATTTAGGAGTTTCATGTTAGGATGGAAGTTACTCAGCCCTTCCTGGTTTCCAATGAGGTAGTTTATTTATGAACAGTACGTGATTTAAACTATGGAAATACAGCTTTCATCAAAAATAATGTTGACTTCAATATAACACTTCTACCATCGACAGGTAGAAAACACATTTACTAAGATAACATTAAACACTAAATTTCGTCAACTTCCTGTTTCTTGTCAATTTATGTGAATTGCTATACGCTACTAATTATGGTGTTATCTTTGTCCTATAAGCATTTCTTGACTGAAGTTTTTCACTGATATACGAAACTTATTTCAATTACATGTAGGATATCTATACGCAGTTTTCGTTACGGATTTGTTTCGACCAGGGTGTTAATAAAAATCAAAAATTGAACAGCTATTTAGCCCTGATATGAAACCCTTCAGGAATAAGGACCAATGACCATAGCACGGCGCTGAAAACAGAACCATAAGAGTTCGTAACGAATCTATGGTCGTTTGGATTACCATGTTGAAATTCAAAGGTTTAAATTTCTAACTTTAATCAGTATATATATGCTACATCCAAGTGACAATGACAAACATTTTATAATGTATTTATGTGTGGTTAATTAACTTTACAAAAGATAAAAGTATCCGATTGAAAGTGAAATTTTATTTTGTTCATTATATGTACAACTTATTATCATGTTCTTTGCATTCTTTTTTAAGTAACCATGTTTTTCTATAAGTATGGAGGTTCTTTCTTCTCTGGTGTAATTATTATTATGTAGATAGTTAGTTCAATTAATTGTCGTTTGTTGCTTGTAATTATATCAGTCCTTAAAATGATTATATACATGTGTATACACCACAAATGATAGTATTTTATTTGAAATATGCGATAGAAAATACTAACTCTTACGCTTTATACACCTATAAAACAGATCTACTAGTTTAGGAAATATTTAAATAATGACCAAGTTAACAGAAAAATATTACGAATTATCTTGCTTCACTAACTATAGTGTCCAACAAGTACAGAATACGTTGGAAACTTCTTGGAAATAAATTATATGACACTAACCTCAACTAGTTGTCCCATTAGATATGTTTCCAGAACGAAAAAACCTACCATTCATTTTCAGGTTCCTCAAAAAGTAATGTCCATTTATACTGTGGGCGCCTGAGAAGTGTAAACCACTTGAACACTTCTACAAGCATACTAATTCATCTTAATTAGAATCGAATCCTTTTTCATTTTCCAGTATCTCCTCGACTCCTAATCTCAACTGCCGTTTCTAGCTTCAACCTTTTATGTATGCACAATATGTTTACAGTTCATTGTCCACACAACTTGAGCACTTAACTGATCGTTGAACCTTTCATGGTTTGAAGTACACATCATATTGAAAAGCAAGCTTCCCCAGCTAGGAGTTTTAAATTTCACACAATTATTGTATGTTCAAAACCAATATACATAAACCAACTGAACTCATTCATTTAATTTCACATGGCTAATAAATGCGATTCATCTTTAACAAAACTAGAGACTCGTTCAGTATTGATTACGATCTCGCAAATATACGTGAGACATTAGGTCTGTAAAAAAAGACCCTGGATTTCTAAACTAGATTTTAATCGACAGTCATTTATACACTGTCACGTTAATCAGTGTACAGTAAGAAATAAATGCATAGAGATAGATAATTAATTTTATAACAGAAGGATAATAACATTAAATCATTAAAGCCATACAAATATTGCATAAACAAAGGTTTTCATACTAAAATGGAATGAGAATAAAGATTTGTTCGTAATACTAAGACATACAAATAAGGCATATATACACAGTCTTTTTCATCATTTCATGCATTACAACACATGCACACAGAAAAAACGAACCAAAATCCATGAAAACAACACAAATACACTAAATCTCTTTGACTATTTAAGTAAAAAGACGAAATTGAGAAGAAAAGCGAAGAACACACTGTAAGTATGTGAGAAAAAAAGAAGAGAGAAACTGGTGAATTATTACCCATTTCTTTAATTTTCATTCTTTTAAAACAAAACAATAAGAAAAAGATATCATTAACAAGTAATGAATGATGTTCCGACAAAACAATAACTCATAAAGAATTGCGCTAATTACATTTCATTTTAATTGAACATACATATGATAAGAGTTCGATTGAAATAATCACTGTTTCATTAAGGCCTACTTTTTTTGTTTGTTTTTTTTCTTTAAAATAAATCTTGATAGACAGAGAGTACCAAGATTATGGTGAAATCCTCATAAAATGGAGAGAAAATGGTTGAAACAAAATAAGATATTTAAATATAGTTAACTGAAAAAACATAATCAACGAAATTACTAACAATCTGAATGAAAAATAAACATGTTGATTACTTAATTCTATGTACTTCATTTGTAGAGAGTGTATTCAACACTAACTGATATTATTCAGGTGCATCATTGGTAAAATCGGAATGTGTTGAGTATATGTTTCGTCTTTGTATAAGACATATTAGTACGTATGAGGATTTGTGAAAACTGTATTTTTCACAGTTGACTTCATGAATTGATCTAAGCTAGACCATCATTCAAAACGTGGAATTACTTGACAGATGTTTCGTGGTCTAGAGGTTAAGTGTTTGCGTGCGGGGCCGTGGATGCGCACCATTGGGGAGTCCCATACTCGAACGAAAAGGCGATCCATTGCTTCCACGTTGTCAATGGTGGTCTAGCCTCGATCGGCTCGTGGTTTCAACTGTGAAAATTGTGATATGTATGTGAAAATCTATTATATTGCATGAAAGTCCCTTCTTCCACTTGTAATATAACTTTGTTGTATAAGTATATATATATTTTTTTATTTTAGCCAGCCATGAACTACATACATGATTTTAAGGCTAATGGTGAATTAGATGAAACAGCGTTTGAACTTGCAACCTAACAATTAATATCCAGATATTGTAACCATTAAACCATTGCTACAATTTAAATCATATTACAAAACTATTGACTAATGACTTCAGTACATTATCAAAATATTGTAAATGCGACCAAAACGTCTACAAAAAACGTTGTCATTAAAAAATTCAACATTTTGACTTCATATTTACTACCGCATTACAAAAGTACGCAGAAGAGTATGCTCAACATAGTTATTTTCAACTAGACTAGTAACATTTATCAAATACATCAAGTTTTATACATTCAATTACTCTCTCTATGGAACCAGGTTCCTACCCTCACTGTTAGAAAACCGCGTACAATATACCACGTTACAAATCTGGAGATAAGACTGACAGTAACAATTACGGGCCGATGAATATTACTCCAGTTATCTCTAGAATTATGGAAAAAAACTATTAATAATGAAGTTTCCAACTAATTACTCGCTGGAAAATCTATCAATGATACTCAATATGAATTTCTTAAAAATCGACCTTGTATGACATGTCATTTTGACTTCTTTATTTTAGTCTATTCCTGACGTAGCCAGAGATATCTAATCTTAGTGCTATACCTGGAAATTTCTAAAGCCATCGACATCGTTAGCCACTAACGTCTTATAAGTAAACTCGCATCTTACGTAGTTCAAAGCCCTTTGCATGTTTGGTTTGATTCCTACCTCAGAAACCGATATCAAATAGCTAAAATTAACTCTTCATTGTCTAGCACTGTCCCTGTGACAAGTGGTGTAATACCAGGCAGTGTCTCAGGCCCTTTGCTCTTTTTAGTGTTTATCAATGATATTTGGGAAAGTTTTTGTGTGGATAAGCCCTTTCTATATGCAGATGATCTTAAAGTAGTGTATTCATTTTCACCACGTGAGCTAAAAAATATGCGAAATTGCATTAGCATGGAGCTTAGCAAGTTAGCACAGTGGTGCTTAAAATGGCAACTGGGGCTTAATACAGCTAAATGTGGATGGATATGCTTCGGCGATACATCACTCAACTTAGATCTTACCATAGATGGCGAACTGTTATCTAGGTTAAATACAGTGGTAGACTTAGATAGTCCTATGACTTGTCGTTTAAAGAACCGATATTGAAACAGACCTCCAAGTCTCAAAGTCTTATAGGTTACATAAATCGAAACCTTTATAACGATCAGTCACGTATTTTAATGTACAAAGTTCATGTTCGACCACTCCTAGAATACTGCACGTTTACTCTTAGTAGTGCGCGCATAAAGGATAAATTAAGGCTGGAATCAGTACAGAGACGACTTACACTTCGTATTCTTGGAACTGATTGTACCTTGACTTATAATTCTAGATGAAATAAACTTGGGCTCGACCCTTTATGGAAGAGGAGACTCAAACTAAATCTTACCTTTTTCTTCAAAATACTTAATAAACTATCATTTACATCCAATCAAGTGATTCAATATGCAGAAACTTCTCATTACGACAACCAAAACTCCTTGTCACTAATGAAACAAACTTATTTTAAATCATCTATCCGTACGATAACATCACTCCCATTATTTGTTCGCTGCATTAATGCATATTGCTCCTCTTAAAATGCACTGAATGTTCTAGCACCTGTAAGTGTATCTTATTCCATAAGTGATATTATTAGTGAATTGCTTAAGTAAAACCAGCTGCCTGATGTCACTTTACGTTAACACTGTATCTAGCAACCTGAACTAATTTGAATAATATCTAAAATCAACACTATATCACTGTACCACATGACATATGCATTCTGGTAGACCTAATTGACATATTTTAGTAATGATTACATTGTTGTTCCGTGCTCTCTGTTTCTTGTTTTACTTTCTCTAGTTGTAGATAATTATCATTAATTCGATCTGGCACAGGAATAACCTTCATTACACCGTTCATAAATCAACAGGCTGTCCACTTAAGAAAAATTAAAACTTCCCGGCTGATGCACTGGATCGTTATAACACATGTACTACGTTAACAATTACTGAACTAATATACTTAAAACTTTCTTCTATCACATGTTTGTTCTGTGTATCTAATGTTACTATTTATATAAAATTGATCATGCCTGTAAACTGGCGTGAATTCTGTAATTATTATTTTCAGAATATATTATACTATTTATCACAAACATTGAAAAGAGTGAAGATAGTTGATATTTTCAATAACAGACATAAGAGTCGCGGAGAATGGTTAGTAATTACAGTTCCATATAGTTAGGATAATTTAGTAACGATACATTTCTAATCTTATCTCACGTACTGCATACGAATTAGCGTAGCAGATTTTAAGCGAGAGCATTAAAAGTGAGAATGCTAATAACAGGAAGCGGTTAGGCAAGCAAACGCATGTACGGTTGAGTTACAGTTAGTGGCTTAGTGGTTGAAATTTAAACAACGGAACCACTGAAAGACGGCTAAATATTAGGACACATCAGAGAAATGGTGTGATCATAAAATTTATAAGGCAAAATATAGACTGACATTTATTAGTACAACAGTTGAACTAGTAATTAATACTTTGTGAATCAAACAGTGGCCAACATAATATTGAAAGGACAGAATACTGTAAGACTATCTATACAAAGAATGATAAGTATTAACTTCATTGTCTATTGTCGATGTTCACATCAAACGACAAACACACAGTATACTTCCAACTCATAAGTACGATCGATCACAGATTCTTTGAAGATAATTGGAACGAAGATATCAATATTAGTACAGATACCTAGAAAAACCAATCCGTTTACTCCATTCAACGTCTGACTACAAATCAGTCAGTGTCGATCTTGTGTAATTATTTTGGTTGTGAAAAGTGCACTACATACTTGCGAACACTGATCATTCATGATTAAGCGTGATTTTGACAGTTTGTGAATTCATATACACCTATATGCATGCTTAACCTAGTTCTCACTTGAGGATATCAATACTTATTCTACAATCCACATATTTTTACACATCTTTTCTTCATCATACTATCAATTTACAAAACTCATTACCACCACTACTACTACCTATTAATCACACACAGTAGTAAATAAAATGATGACCAGTAAGATAAATAGTAGCCCATGCATATTGTACATGGAAATCTAGTCATGGTAACAATATAAAACAAGCAACTAGTTTTCAATACTATCCTAATTATTATCACTATTATTATCATTATTGTGTTACTATGACTGACAAAAAATATCATGCGAATAACAATTAGGGCTATTTTAGAGTATAATTAAGAAACATGCATTTAATGTTGAAACATATTTTAGGTTGAAATGAAAACTGGAAATGATCGAATGATTTGAGTTATTTTCTCCAACATTTATCCGTTAAACTATAGGTTTTTGTGAAAGAAGAACAGGAATACGAATCAGTCAGTAGTCATTAACGCGGAATCTGATATACAGAGATGCAAGTTGCCAAATCATATCAGTAGGATCAAAGGAAATTTAGAGCAACATGAATACCAAAGATGCAGAAATAATATCATTTTACTGATTGTAAACATGAGGATATGACTCGCGAAGAAAGGCTGTGAAAGAACGAACTATGCAGAAACAGATAATATTAAAACACAAAGAAAGGAAATGATTCTGAGCCCGACAAAACGATTTCCAGGAAGTCTTCACTTCCTTGTATTTAACTTTTATTTGAGATCGTTGATTAGATAACAACCAAAAGGTTTGGAGCATCAACTCCCTCCATTCGCACGGAAACATGGCTTGCATAAACAGTTACTGACTTCGCTAGCTCTCAGTTATTTTCGAATCTACTACTAAATTAATCAGCACGACTGATTTCACTATCGTTCCAACAGTCTAGACGATATTTCTGTGTTACATCAAGAAGAGAGACCCAGGTCTTTACATTTTGTCAAATTACTTTGAAATAGCTCCTTCTGTAAACGATGAGACAGTTCGAAAAATTGATAAAAATACAGAGAATTTTACGAGAAAAGAGTACAACCTTAACTTTAATGTGAGAAAATATCTCACTTTCATCAATCTAAAAACTCCTCTTAGTCAATTCAAACTTTAAAGTGTTTGTTTGAAATTTACAACAAGTTAATGAGCTTTTTATCATGGTAATGTATCTAAATGTAGGCATAGGTAACCTTTTTATTCCAACAGACTTTTGACAGTTTATACAACATTTTGAGTGAACTTACGTTGATAAATTGAAATTGAATGATACAAAAATTATTACAAGATACATTTTTCTAACTTACCATTTAATCTTCTGATAATTTCTCATAAAATCTACGATAACGATCATCTACATTCTTCAAATAATATGAACCAGGAAACAGTCCTTCAGGTCGAAATGTTGGTTCAAATGGAGCTGAAATTAAGATCATATAGTCTAAACATCATCTATGTAAGCAAAGATGGTTAGTGGCTAACAGTGGAATCCAGGACGCGCTTTCCGTCCTATTCGGGACTCGTCAGCTGGATGTGCCCGCACCCCAGAGTTGGTGTTCACTCCGGGACTCGAACCCAGTACCATTCGTTTCAAACGCCATCGCGTTATCCACTTAGCTACTAAGTCCTGATAGCCACCTGCTTGTGCAATAAATAACGGGAATAAATAACAATGAGAAGATACAAGTAAAACAACAATTGAATTATCTATGTAAGTTGGAAATCATTATTATGATTATAAATGTATGTACCAGGTACAGATCCGTATGCTTGACCATAATCCATACTCTACGTGTGAGAGTTAGTGATCTTACCATATAGTAAATCCAACTGATATAGATAGGGCGGGGTTCGAGCCAGTGACAGTGGCTCAAGCTCGAATGCACAAACCACCAAACCACTGAATCAAAAAAGACAATTTCAAAAGATACTTTTATGAAAATTTGAAAACGACACTGGAATTCCAAGTAGGTTGTGATTTTAAAGTCAAATTTTTGACACAACATACACACAAACTTCCAAACTACACAGCAATTTAACAACTAGGTTTTAAAAGCTTTATTTTAGCGATTTAAACTTTTCCCGCTTCTTAATATAAATTATTTACCATGAAATCGACTACAGTATTAGCCATTGTCATTTGGTAATGAACGCGGAACGTTTTGAGAGATTTGTGTATCCTACATATACCTACTTATGAGTAGTTAATTAATTTACCACAAAATTTCAATGTCCATATTTTATTGAATGTGAACTAGCTAGCTTATTACTGACATAATTATCATTCATTCAATGATTGCTATCTTGTTTGAAATCACTATATCAACTATCGTTGCTGGTTGTTCCACCTTGAATACATGTTTATAACTGAAATCAATAGTTGTTGACCCATATAGTCAGAGAAACTAAAATAAGATGACTGGTTAACTTCATTCGATCTTGTCGAGTGAGTCATCAGGATGAATTTAATATACCGTAAAAAACTAAATAAAGGAACATTGAAAGGACACATGATTCTGAATGATGAAAATGGTAGTAAATTATCTGTAAAAAAATAAGTCTAGTTCATTTTCACATTGAAAAAATCACTAGCGTCATAGCTAAGTTAAATTCATAATCTATATAACTTCAGGCTGATGATTGACCAATCATTACGTATCACTATATAAAAAATGAATACTAACGTCACTTCATGAAAAATTTCGAAAATTAAAATTAACCGTTGCTTAACAATACTTTTAATTGTAAGGATTTGAGCCCCAATCTGAACATCAACACTGAAATGAACGTATATTTAGTTGGCACGTCCGAAAGGGAATAAGGAGTGCGTTTCAGATTCCACTACAAACAACTATTGATCTATTCTGTAAGATGTGTTCAATTTATGGATTTGTTTCGTTTGGGTAGTCGTGTACCAGTTAACGATATCATTTTAACAATAATTCGACTTTGTTTTCAATACACATTAGGGGAAAATTCACAAACGAATGTAAATCTATGAAATTATAAAGGGTTGGACATTCCAGTATTCACAAAATAAGTTATGAAGAAACTGATAAATGTTAAAAGAATATTTTCAAAGACATTTGATGTGAATATAAAATATGTAGTTTTTAAAGTATTAATTCATAAACCGATCTGTTGTAGAACATTCTATTAAAATTAATCACGTGGTTTGAAAACAGGTGACGACATCCAACTGGAGCCATTTTACGAAACATTTATTATTTAATATTCATATTAAGTTGAAACTAATTTCACAACTAACAGTTCGCTTACATTCATCGCTATATTTATTGGGCACTACATTTATAACAATTAATTAGTTAGATTTATTGAGCTTAAGAGATTTGTGAAGGCTGTTAAGTTTCAAAATTCACGTCATCAACTGATCATAGTTAGAAAACGATTAAAATCAAGAAGCACTAACATCCGTTTCGTCCTAATATGCTATTTATCTACAGTGTGTATTCGAAGACCAATCTGAGATCAAACTCAGGAGCTTTATATTTTTCAGAGAGCTCTTAATCTTTAAACCATTGAGATGTAATTCATAGGTATACATTTTTAACATGAGTCAGTCTATGTTTTTAGTTGATATCATGTCATTGTGAGAAAGCACTACTGTGGAGTTCCATGCCAAAACGAAACAGCTGTGTCAGTGCTTCTTGGTTTTAATCGTTTTCTAACTATGATCAGTTGATGATGTGAAGGCATACAGATATATGCACACATGAATAACAATCCAAGAAAACGAGAACATCTATTTTTATTGTTAACTAAAACAATCGCACTAAGTCTTTACTACTAAGTCAAACTTTTTATTATTATTCGACAAATATTAATTACTACTTGGGTTAAAATTATGATTATATTACATATATACAAAAAGTACTTACCTGAATTATGTGAAAGTTCTCGTTCTTTAAGCATTAGTTCAAATTGCGAAACAGTCACTTGAGTTCGCTCATCAAATAGACGTTTGTGAATATGAGACAAACCATTGGACGATTCTAGTGAACAATTCAAAACCGTGGATAAATCACGATCTGGATGGATAAGAATACTGTACATAGCTGATGCCATTCCAGAACCATAAGAATACATTAGTATACGACGTCCTAATAGTTCAGCTTTTGAAGTACTAAGAATAAGAGAGAAAAAAGTAGAATTGAGGACATTGAGTTAACAGTAATCCATTCACACGTGAATAAGTCCGAAGTGCCATTTGAGGTATGAGAGCTGTTGTTATCTCCCGGTTGTTTACACCATGAAAAGATATTTCTTCTTGAAGGACCTGGAAAGAAAACTGGGTTAGGGGTAATCTTGGTGACATGGAAGTGTAATAGCAACGCCCAAACGATAGCTGCTTTACAGCAGCCACACGTGGTTCTTTTACGTGAAGTTCGTAGGGTGTAAGCCCCGCACTTTTCAAGCCTTATCGATCCCAATGGAAGTACGTGAGCTGAGGTTGGGTACGCTAACTTCAAGACAGATATTTTTGAAAGTTTTCTTCTATTTTGAGAAGGTAGATGCTTGATGTCCGGTGAAGACGCCTACGGACAACAAATCCCAATACAGTCATCAGAATAAATTTTTATTGAGACCTATTATTTTCTGCTTTTAGAATTCACTCTCCAACCGACCAGCCTGGGATAGCAGGTCATAACGGAGCAGTTATTTTACCTAATATGGTTACATTGAATCATCACAATATGCAAGTGTGAGCCACAGTCGGGATATATGAATAAGATATATACCAATCTGTATCAAACACGGAAAATTACAACTGGGAAACAATAGCCATCCAGGAAAACAAGTATATTGAAGATTTCTTTGACAATAAAATAATTGACTCTTATTCTGTTGGCTGATTTGGGTATTTGTTAAAATTTATACCAATGAACCTATGCAGATGACCTTGTTTCATATACATTTGATTAATTACACAAAAAGTCAAATATTTTTTATCACTAGTTGTCTATATACGGTCCCATCAATACCGCTGGTAAACCTTTTATACTTATTATGTTGAAATGTAACAGATAAATAGTATCAAGCAGTTGCAAACAGTATATTTCCAACAATTCACAGTTTAAAGAATTATGAACTAACTGAGAATAACAGGTAAGAAAAATATCACAGTTCTTATTTCAACCTAAAATATGTTTCAACATTAAATGCATGTTTCTTAATTATACTCTAAAATAGCCCTAATTGTTATTCGCATGATATTTTTTGTCAGTCATAGTAACACAATAATGATAATAATAGTGATAATAATTAGGATAGTATTGAAAACTAGTTGCTTGTTTTATATTGTTACCATGACTAGATTTCCATGTACAATATGCATGGGCTACTATTTATCTTACTGGTCATCATTTTATTTACTACTGTGTGTGATTAATAGGTAGTAGTAGTGGTGGTAATGAGTTTTGTAAATTGATAGTATGATGAAGAAAAGATGTGTAAAAATATGTGGATTGTAGAATAAGTATTGATATCCTCAAGTGAGAACTAGGTTAAGCATGCATATAGGTGTATATGAATTCACAAACTGTCAAAATCACGCTTAATCATGAATGATCAGTGTTCGCAAGTATGTAGTGCACTTTTCACAACCAAAATAATTACACAAGATCGACACTGACTGATTTGTAGTCAGACGTTGAATGGAGTAAACGGATTGGTTTTTCTAGGTATCTGTACTAATATTGATATCTTCGTTCCAATTATCTTCAAAGAATCTGTGATCGATCGTACTTATGAGTTGGAAGTATACTGTGTGTTTGTCGTTTGATGTGAACATCGACAATAGACAATGAAGTTAATACTTATCATTCTTTGTATAGATAGTCTTACAGTATTCTGTCCTTTCAATATTATGTTGGCCACTGTTTGATTCACAAAGTATTAATTACTAGTTCAACTGTTGTACTAATAAATATCAATATATATTTTGCCTCATTAAATTTTATTACTGAATATCTAGCTAGTTTACATCACAGTCCCGTGAGTTAAGTTTGTGGGTGAATAATTTATGGTTAGAAAGGTAGAGTTCAAGATATAAGATTAGGATTAACGACTGTGGTTAAAGTTTACGGTTGTTTTACGGTTAGTTTATATGTACTTTCATCTGAATCGCGAACTATTCATCTAAATCCTTATCTTAATTCAAACATTAAATCTTAAATCCAAACCCTAGCTTTTACAGACGTTTTCGTCATTAGCCGTTTATGTATGATAGAAAAAATTGTGTTCTGATATATATACCGTGACTATGAAACGATATGATCTTTCTTTATTGAAATGACCTTATAGTTCAGTTTCACCGTTTCGTATAGCATTTCTTGATATAAATCATGTCTGATCCTGTTATAACTGAACAAAATACTGGTGTAACTAGATGAAAGCTGGAAGGAAAGGACAACAGATGAAGATTTATTATACACCGTAATCTATATCTGAATGCACTAATTTTAAATCTTATCAACACTTATTAATAGTCTGATTTCAATAAATTGGACTAGATAATTATTCAGCATACAATTTACAATATCTTAAGGTTAAACTGATATAATTAAAAAATGTAACTAATCTATTAAATTACATAACTAATTTATCTTGGCAATTTTTTTAATGTTACTGTGTGCCAGAAAATTATTTAAAAACCAGTATCCTTTAAAGTTAAATACAAATGGTTGGTATGTAAATGGTCTTATGTGAAGTAAATAACTCAATAAAGTTATTCAACTTCACTGAGATTATATAAGTGCTGTGATAAGCAGGTTGATTCGATAGACGAAATAAATGGCAAAGTATCACAATCCATAAAACAAACAACTATTGATTATATTCTAAAGTAACATAAACATTCAGTTAAGAATAACCCCAGATCTTAGTAGTTTTAATTTTAATGGGTAAAATGAAACTCAAAAAACTTATTTTTCGAAATTTAAATCAGACAACGAAAATTTCAATTCTTCATTGTGGAATATTTGTTTAACTGTTCCTGCACGTAAAATGACTTTTTGAAAAAAGAAAAAAAATCATTTCTATACTCATTTCCTAATATACACAAATTGTAGATGTAAACTCAATACAAGCAAAAATATCCTTCGTTTTTAGATTTAAAAAAGACCTAGTTTTCAAAATAGTCAAATCAACTAACAAGAATGTGAAAATCGAGAAAATATGCAAATATAGGGCGTTGAGGAGATTATTGATTTCGACGTTACACATCACAGACTGATCTTAGTTAAACAATAAGTGAAGGCCAGGAAGCAGTGGACAATTGTTTCGTCCTATTACGAAACTCCACGGTAAAGTATAGCAATGACCACATTGAGAACCTTGAGACCCAGCAGTGAACATTGAAACTCATAAATATTCTTGACAATTATTTTTTAAACAGTTTACATTGGTATATATATATGAAAACTAAATTTGCTGAAGTTAGAAATATGGACCATTGTATACTGACCCAGTAGTCAGAAGGTAAAAGGTTAAGAGTCCAGGTCCTAATATCATTTAACTGGTGATATTTTACGACTATCATTCAGTGTACACTGATTCCAGCCTTCAATTGTTGTTTAACTAAAATCAATCCGTGGGATGAAACGTCGGAATAAACATATACATAGGAAAATCAGAAGAAAAACCAAATTTACATTTTAATGCATCAATTCATTCAATTCAACGATTGATCAAACATAGTTCTGCAACTCCAATGTTTGTAAGCTAAATCCTGCCAATCAGTAAGAACTATGACTTACGTTTTACAAACACACCTGAATTAAACAATGAAAGCTATAATTAATGCGAACATACCTAACCAGTACGTACAATTAAGTAACATTCTTTATGCAAAATTTCAGGAAATCCGATCAAAATCTGTCGAAAATGGATTTTTCGAAAAGCCATCTCAAAATTTTTTCTATCTAAGAGTATTGATGTCGAACCTAGACCCCTGGAGGAAAACTTACCTTTAGTAGGTGATTATCAACTAAACATCAAACTTTTCTTGAGGTACCCACAGATTCCATAATATATCAGAGTCAATCTTAGCTATAATAGAACTTTTGTTCTTCCCTTTATTCTCTTATAGGAAAATGGGTTCTTGGTTAATTGAAGGAATATTATTACGTACATATGTTATGAATGATTTGTGTTACTGATAATATTAAGGATGCCAATACTTCCGGAAAGCTCATTTTCTCGCTTGACTTTGGTTCTCTGTGCACCAGATTACCTATAACTGAAACTATGTTACATATGTGATTATATTGATTCTAATAACATAGATATAGGCCCATCGATTGACCATTTCAAAGAACTCTTGTTACGTTGTACCTTCAATGTCCAGTTCAGTTTCAGCAATGAAATATATAAACAGAGAGATGGGATCGCAACAGTCTCTTTTGGGCCCAATCTTAACTAGTAGGAACTTTTCTGTATCCGCAAAGGATAAGCTTCCTCATCTGTTTACCTCTATGTGCATCTACCAGATCGCCCGATCTTGCGAAACAAGGTACATTGGCCACCGCCAGTGCTTGCTTTCAAATCGGATACGAAAACATTTCCCAGTGTGGTTCTACAAGGGTGAGAGGAAAGCAGTTATATGCTTCATTCTTGAACATTTAATCGACTCTAATCACTCCACTAATCCACAGGTTGATTTTAAGGTTCTTTAAACAATTCGTCGAAACCTAGCAAGATTTTTTCGTACCCAACTCCATAAAACAGCAGAAGCTCTTGCTCCATGATTTGAAGGCAGAACTGTGTGTACAAGAGAAGTACGTCTTATCCCTATCGTGTTTATTTCTTGTTCATATGTACTCACGGAAGTAATACTTTAACAAAATTTTCATATAGGTACGATTGTACAGCTCGTTAATAAATTCACTGAAAAAAGATCCCTTCGCTGAACTTCGTGTTTTTTTAATGTTGTATTGTATTTAGTTTCCCAATGAAATGATCGATTTAATACACAACCAAAATATTCAGTGAGGAAAATTTCAAGAACAACACAATATAATAAACTACTCACTTAAGAAGAAGACTAACAAGACATGCATATAGAGAAGCAGTATACATGTTTCCAATATTTTTAGCGAACATTAGTCCAGGATCTACTTTACGCCTGTACAACGATTCAGTAGCTTTCAAACAAATTGTATCCAACTGGCGATCTGGAATACTAAAGTAAATAACAAAAATGTTAGTCAGTAAGCAATACACGAATCATAATCGCTGAATAAAAGTGAAAGCAACATTCGAAAATCAGGGGCACTAATTTACCAGATGATACAGATTAGTTTACTTGGCTTCGAGTCACACCCTAAATGTGGAAGATACTGATGCTAACCCTAACCCGTTTCCCAAAATAAAGTAGACGGGGCGGAGTTCGAACCTATAACCTAGTGTGTGAGAGTTAAATCTAGAAATCAGAAAGTACCCAACGACTATTTTACTCCATTTTACTCCAGAACTTGTCAGAAGTTAAGACTGATAACACCTCTCAATAATCGACACTCAAAATACTAAATTTTGAAAGCTAAAAAGTCAGTCCTGACCGGACGACTGAGGCTAAGTTCTACTTCCTGATATTTGTATTCGTGGTAAACCTCATTCATACAGGTTTTTTTCATTTATAAAGGTTTCGGTCATTCAAATCCAAACATCTGATTAAAGGGAATTTTAAGTCACTGTTTAACTAGTGACTGACTACATTATTATGAGATCAACTACTTTCAAACTAATTGGGAAGCTTAAAACGATAGAAAACCGTTACTACTGTTACTAATAATACAATTGCTAATATCACCATGAAATAATAAACTTACTGTTTATCATCAAGTAAACGGTAATCTTTTAAAGCATTAAAAATAGATGGGTCTATCTGATCAAAATACTCTGATTTCGACGTCATTTGATGATTATTATGACATAATTGACCAGCTTTTGAAGATGATAAGAATACATCAGAATCGTTTGATGTATCTGCAATAATGCCTTCTGTACGCATATCAATCATTGCTAACCAACCGATCGCTTTTTGTACAAGACGAGTAAATGGTGCATGCAAACACATATAGTCTATTGCATTGTTTACCTTCGGTAAAGTATCTCGCCAAGGTGTTGTTATTATACTATTGAGACCTAAAATGTAAAACATAAACAGTTTATTTTATAAAATCTAAAAATGATACTGTCAAACTAGTACTGTGTAAATACAAATAAAGAAGAATTGACTTTACAAAGTACACAAAAAAGTTTATATTCACATACGTGAAAATCATTCATACAATGAATATCATGAAATGAAGAATAACTTGCTTAAAGGTTTTTGGTGAAAAGATTTAAAAACAGTCATAAAATTGTTTTCACTCACAATCTCATCACCACATCAGTACAGCTTGTTTACACTTACACTTCATACTTTCGAAACCGACCAATAAGCCTTGTATTCTCTAACTGATGGAAAGGAGTAAAATATAAGTAAAATAATCACAACGTGAATGGGTTCAACTAGACCTAACAGAAAATTGGAAAAGCGTTCGGATATGAGTTCAATGACTGAATATGAGAGACAGTACTGGAATGTGCCAATAAACAGTCTAATAAACCCTATTGAAGTCAACTGTTACTAACTGATTATTCAATGTTCAACAGACGTTTGATTGAATAACACTGTTTATCGACGATTAATAGATAAAGTCATAAAGATATTAATTAATAAGTAATATCGAAAGGTTCTGAATGGTGGTCTAACGTTGATCGGTTTATGACTTCAATGAAACTCAATAATCTTCATACAGAATATAGAGATGAATGGGAAGTAGTTATTCAATAAGATAATTTCTGAATAGTAAGTAGTAATCGTACCAATAATAATAATAATAATAATAATAATAATAATAATAATAATAAGAAGAAGAAGAAGAAGAAGAAGAAGAAGAAGAAGAATAGCATACTCAGAATAAATTAAAATACGTTTACCTTTAGAAGCTGATTTGTGTCGATATAATTTATAACACATTTCTAATGCCTCTCGATAACACTGCATACTAAAGTGACCATCAACGATAGGATATTCAGAGCTTAAATTTGGCTTGTAGAAATCATAACAATGTTTCATATAAACAGCTCGTAGACCTTGACAAAATAAATGAAGACAGAAATGAAAGTCCTATTATACGCTAAAAATATTACTGTTATATAACAAACTGTTTCATTTACAAAGACCTACATTGATCTGTAATTTAAGTGAGGTATACATTTATTTGTTTATATTGACTACATAGAGTGATTAATCTGCAGTGGTAGTTCAGCAGCTGAGACATATGACCACGTCGTAGGCCCGAATCCAACTGCACCTAATTCTGTCCAGGCATCCAGGTAGTATCACTAGCTGTAAGCGCTTAGAGTATGACTCCAAGCCAAGTACATTAATCTGTACCTAGTAAATCAGTTTAAGAATATGATAGATATAACAAGACAACTCGGCAGTGATTTGTATTGTTCTATGATGATTTTTCAATAATATTCTGTCACGTACATGCACCTACTAATAGACAATACGATTTGATACACTAGATAATAGAGTAGACACACTAGACCATGATGCTAGGTAATTACACCACAAGATTAGGGATCACATGATATACAATCCTGAAAAACGACTGAGAACTGGATTATGAGCAGGAATAACCGTTTATTGATATGAATTATAAGCAGTCAAATAACGTGAACTCCATAATAAATACAATGAAATTCGAGTCATATATGAATTATTCATTTATATTCCTATAACCGAATATGTCTTTATAAATAGCCACGTCATTTATTTTTACACAAGAAACCTATTCTTCTGGTTAGTGATTTGGCCGTTTTTCAAATCATTCAGTGATTTAAGTTAATAATTTGGCCTTATGAGCAGCTATCACTTGGCTACATCATGAAAATCATAAAGTTGATAAAATAATAGAGCTAAATGCCCAACACAAATCGGCGATTAGAACAGGAAAGTATAATTCAGCCTGTTACGAACTCAACTCATCGAAAAAAATTCGATAACGTATTGATACAAATTGGTGAGCCAATATACCCATTCTCCCAAAATCACTGCAGCTGATACAGATAACAAATTAAAGGCAATCTCCAACATAAACACGATAACACTACTTCTAGCATTTCAACTATGCATCAACTATTTTCATCCACTGTTCATCTTTCGATCTTGAATTGCTCTATTCCCTCATATCATATATACCTATCTAATCTGTTTTTTTCAAATCTTATTCCAAAGGCTTAGTCGTTCAACTTATTATTGCTACTATTCCATTTCTGCTATATCCGAACGAAGAATAAATGGATGGTAACTACTAGGAATTATTTATGAACTATTATTACATATATTCCTATTGGATAACTATTAAGTAACTAGATTATATATGCATATTCGTATTTCTTTTATCATAAGCTTCCATTTGACCAAATGACTACTGTTATACGATTTGATATCCTTAAGGTAGCCCCAATCTATTAGTTACAGTCTTTCACACTCAGTCACTTTTGGTTTGATCTTATATAAATGTCATTTTTCAATTTATGGTGTGATGCAGTCTGATTTGCTAGGTACGTCCGAAAGACATTAATCATACGGTGGAGGCTGAGATTGTGTTCTGGACTGAATAGGCAGGGCTAGGTGAAAAGGACCAATAAGAACTGCAGGCTTCCTATGCCGGTCAACATATTATTGGTTTAGTACAGTGTTAAGATTGTATAAGTCGTGTTTTGATTGGCGATCTTATAACGTGATAATAAACAGACCAAAAGATATAACAATTGGCGGCAGGGATTTTGCGAAAAAAAAGTAAGACATAGCAAATGTAATAATATTTCTTTTTGAAGAAAACTAATTCTGTTTGTATACGAAATGAACTGATATAAGAAGTAAAGTTTTGAGTAGAACACCAAAACGCAGAATACTTCAAATATCTAAACTCCAAAGATTATTATACAAGAAACGCCAACATGCTGAAAGAGAGAACTGTTTTTAGAATGATACTGATATAAAATCTACAAACCAAAAGCTAACAAAATCTATACAATAACGAACAAAGAACATCATAATGCTATCTCGTAAAAGCTACTCGATAAACATATTTATCATGTGGAATTTGTAACGCTATAATAGTTAAGGAATTTCAATTGCAGTACTAGGCATTCCATAATGAATGATAACCAGTGCGTTTTTATTATATTGATGTATACTACTAGAAAGTAACAAATGTGTTAACATCGGGAACTTGAAGTTCGTGATGCAGTGTTATTTTATTGTTATTAAACTCGTTGATCAGTAAAAATTCGTCACAAACTAAATGTTCCAAAGGTAACGTTTTCCTAGAAATGATGAAAACTCTTATTCATAATCTTGAATGCAGTTCAAATTTGATTATAGCAACTATCTAACCAATAGATGCTTGCAATCAAGGAAACCTAAATTTTGAGTGATATCATAAAACATTCTCTCTACGAAAAACAACTGAGCATACAAATCTTCATAAGACAGCTGGAACACCATAGTATCTACTCAACAAATCTTTAAAAGTTAAGACCTTACCAAAGTCAATCACCAAAGGAGCATTCGGTCCGAGTAAAATTGCTACAGCCCCCGCACCACCGGTAGGACGAGCTGATTTATCCCCATAAACTGCTATATCAGCTGCAACAACCAACGCCATACGGCCTTCATATGGAAAAAAATGCAAAGAGATCAGAAACACAGTAACACTGGAATGAGACGAAATGCAAAATTAAAAACAAACTGACTGATTTTAGATACGCTGTTTTATAAATTGATTTTAAATTTTAATTTAATACTTCCTTCCGTAAACACCTCTAAAACCTTAATGTATTTGGGGTTTTACAACGGTTTTAGGCAGTAGTTATATCCTTCACATTTTTATAATATACATGACTAACAAGTCATTAGGCTTATCGAGTACAACACATACATTATCGATTTGCCGAGAATAAATCAAATAGTAACACAAATCAAGGACTGCATTCGGGTTAACAGATCAAATTTTGAGCCATACTTATCGTGTAAGACCTAAGGAAGCTTAATACTTGAAAAAATAGATATATAAAGACAGTGAAACGTTGGACCTGGGATTAAAATGATAAAAGCATTTAACCGATGTTAATTTGGTTTTAGAATATGATAGGAACTATCGTGATAGTGCATAAAGTTTACTCAACTTACCATTGCAGTAACTAGATTCAAGCCAGTTAAGCGCACCGAACAAAGCAGAGGTACCACCGAAACACGCGTTCTTTGTATCCGTTCCTTCAACGTCAAAATTACCAGCTGTTTCGAATAATTGCATTAGTACGGTTTTTGTAGACTTTGATTTATCTATAATCGTTTCTGTTCCAACCTATAAATTAAACACAGAAACTTTTATTGCTTAAAATTATACGGATATAAGAAAGTACTCATTTCTGTAAGCGATTTGACTGTTATAATTTAACTATGATTAGTTACTAATCCTATTAAAACCGAGATCGATTAAAATGTAAACAAACGCAAACGTTATTTGACATAATAACGTCTAAGAACGTAATCCACGAATCGATTGCTAAGAACAAGTAGCACTGTGGTGTGTGCTACTTATACTGACATAAGTAGTATATGATGTTAGTCGTGAACAGAAGGTCTGGCAGTAGAGAGACAAGAGGATTGAACAGTAAAATATAGAAACAGGATGCAATTTGTATGAAAATGCAAGAACAATGAAGTCTGAGTCATTTTGAGACAAATGGTGGACATTTTGCAAATTAAGCATTCATTTTATGATTGTTAGATTTTATTAAAAAGTTCAGTAATTTTGTGTTAAATACATTCGATTGTCCCCACGGGTGTTCCTGTTCACTAAAGTGTGTCCACACAATGATATTTTTCTGCACATGGTAGTATTATGATGCGATAAGTATGACAGAAAGAATAAATACAACTAAGAAGTATTCGTAAGAAATATGTATAATCTTTCGAAAGGTCACTTTTAAGAGGCGAATGTTTATATTGACTATTGGTGAATTTAAACCACAGTGTCAGGGCGTTATGTCATTTGCTCCAACTCAAAATTACTGTCTAGAAGGGAAAACTCTGACAATTTAATCAAAATATGGACACTGTAAACCGTTCACATTTAATTTATTTTCTTAAGTAGTGAGAATACACTTTCAAATATCAAACTAAGGTTCTTCTAGCTTAAATGATAGCCTCACCGAAATTTTTCCATATATTAGCGAAATAAAATTAATACACACAACATACGATTTAGGTATTTCAAAGAACAGCAAATTACTTACCTCAAGAAAACCAATTGTTTTCAGGTCAAGATTTGTACGCCTGATAAGGTTGCTCACAACAGTTAGACACATTGAATTTATATCTTCCTGTATTGAACAAAATCCAAGAGATGTTTGTCCTAATCCTTGAGTATACTTTCCCACACATTTGTCCTCTACTTCAAGATCATGTTGAGAGACATAAAATTTTGGAAAATAGATCTCCAAAGCAATAATACCGAAATCTGAATTACTCATGACTAGATATTTTCGACCAACACAACTGTAAAAAGATATCGCAAAATTTTTTTAGAAAATTAGTTCCATGTAACTGGCTGGCTGACGAACACTACTACTAAACATTATGTACAAAGAATCAGAATTTCCAAGAATAGTGCAAAGTTATCCTTATCGTTTCTGATGAAAAAGAAAATGAAACTCACGAAATGACAGAACTTCTTTTATATTTCATGACTACTCTGAATATACAAGCACTATAAGCACATAAGTTTATCACACGACTTAATAACGGAGTACATGTTCATTTTATTAGATATCGAACTGTGCTTGTGTGAGAGCCAGATACATGACCCAGATCCTACTTTACCTATTTGAGACAAATACTGGTAGAACTGGACAGCATAATGAGTATGCCTCACACAAATAAAGAAGTACGATTACGATGAAACAAACGAGAGGAGGGGAATACAATTAACAAAACGTAAACTTAATAAAAAGCCAATTAAAATAGTATAATATATTGGATATACATCTATCAAAAATACAACCAAGAGAACGTTTTTCGATTATGCAGCTATATTTCGCTTTCATATAGAATGTAGACGGAAATCATATCAGAATTGGTAGTGATTCCTATTTTGGGCCATATCTAGTAGTTTGGGCATTCACAGTACAGAACGTTTGCAATTTGCATTCGAGTAAAAAGATTAGAAACATTTTTCATCAATTAGCTCTTGATCACGACCTTACGATGATGTGGGTCTTATAATGGGATATAAAACAAGCGCCAATTAGAGGTGACAAAACTATCTATGAACTTTGAGTTACCTACAAAACTACTAATTGACGAATTAAATCCCGAAATCTGAAAATATTCATTATTAAATAGGTGAGTGTTTAACAACTCAGTCAGTCAGCTACAAGGTAGGACCAGGCACATATATGCATCAGTACAAGTTGCCATTCCCCCGAATGCCCTGGTACGGCCGAGAGTGGGGTGAGTCCGCTCTCCCTCTCGAAATACTCTCACACGGCCACGCGTATACAGCCTGTGCTAGGGAAGTCCTACTCATTGCCTTCTCGTGGCGGGGGTGTTGTTTACGAAAATGAGAGGACGAAAAGCGAATGTCCGGCGCTTTAACCGGATTCCAAACCAAATCAATGGTGCACATGGGCTCCAGTATCCTGAGGGAACAAATGGCGTATGAACCAATCTTTGGTCACCGGCTACCATGGGATTGCATCTCCTTACGATGCTCCACTGCCTTGTGGGTTAGACCTTTAGGTCAAAGACTCGGGGTGTGGCCCCCTAAGATAACCACCTGCTTCGGTTTGGGCACCCGGGCAGTATCACAGCCCACACACAAACGATGAACTCTATGTCTATGGCAACCACTTTTCTCGCTCCGAAAAACAATCAGTCGATTCAAATAATTATCATTACTATTATTGTCATTATTATCATTATTATTATTATTATTATTATTATTATTATTATTTTCCACATTATTCACCCTCTTTTATACTTATACAGCGGCTCGTCTTTGGTGGAAATCCGACTGTATCTAAACGTTCTCGAGTCACTGTCCGGTTGAAAATTGTATTTTACCATCGAATATGAGTACTGAAGCAGTTTTTCTGAAACCACGTGCGCCATTCAAACTGGCTGCCTTCAACGTTCGCACACTTATGCAGGTTGGTCAACAGATAGGGCTGACTATGTCTTTGGAAAGTTTTAATATTGATGTTTGTTGTCTATCCAAGACCCGTATTCAAGACTCTGGCGAAGTACTACAAATTCGCTCTACATCTGTCACTTCAAAAAGCTTGTTTTACGTGCGCTTATCCGGGGACCCTGTGGCATCTTCGTCTGGTCTTGCAGGCGTTGGTGTCGCACTAAGCGCTAGAACTGAGGCAGCACTAGTCGATTGGATCCCCATTAACAGTCGGTTATGTGCTGTTAGATTAGAAAGTTCCATCAAAGTGAGAAGAAATCGGCGTGAGAAACGATGTCTTTTCGTCATCTCCGCCTATGCCCCGACAGATTGCAGCCCGGATGCAATCAAGGATGAGTTTTACCACCAGTTATCTGTTCTTCTCCAGAAAGTGCGTTCGACAGATATTGTGGTACTAGCCGGAGACTTGAATGCTCAGGTCGGGCGTCTAGGCACAGAAGAGAGTCGTTTAGGTGGCCGATGGGGACTCGTTGGTCGCAGGTCAGATAACGGGGACCGTCTACTGCAACTATGCACAGTCAGCTACAACGTAGGACCAGGCACATATGTGCATCGGTCCAGATTGCCATACCGCATCAGCACAACAAGATGAACACCGGATTCATAGCAGTGGTTAGGTCAAAGGTAGTAATATGTAAGAGAAAGATTGCATATAGAGATATAGTACAAGAAGAAAGAATTGGTTCGTAGAAAGAAGATATGAAGCGATTTTAATCTCTTAGTTTAAGGGAAGACAGGGAGTGTATACACCGACGCCATTGTGATCGATTCTGAGCCATGTCACCAAGAGTCTCCAACCATTGGTTACGATAGTCTGCATCTACCAACATGGCTCAAACTAGAAGTTAGTGACTTCAAGCACTGATGCCACGTTTTGGTTTGGCCGCCCCTAACTTTCTTCCAACCATTTCCAATACCGGATAGCATTGCACGTCGTGGTAATCGGTGTTCAGGCATACGTAACACGTGGCCCAACCATCTCAGTCGATGAAGATTCATAACCTCATCAACTGATTTACCATCATTCCCTAATACCCTGCGTCTAACCTCACTATTACTTATCCGGTGAACCCAGCAGACGCCAGCAATATTTCTAAGGCATCTGTGGTCAAATACTAATAGCTTACGAGTGTCTTCTACTCTTAATGGCCATGTCTCGCTGCCGTAAAGTAAGACAGAACGGACTGCCGCGCAGTATACTCGTCCCTTAATTGATAGACGGATATCTCGCCTTCGCCATAGGTGACGTAAGTTAGCAAAAGCAAAACGAGCCTTTCGAATCCACGCAGAGATTTCGTCCGATACCAACCCATTAGGGCTGATCAGATTTCCAAGATAAGTGAAGTTGTCAATGCGTTCGACTACTTCACTCCCTATCCTTAGTTCAGGTGTTAACGCAGACCAGTCCTGAAGCAACAACTTGCATTTAGAGGGAAAGAAGCGCATTCCAAACATCCTGGCATTGTTGCTCAGTGCTACCAGAAGACTCTGCATTTTGTCAGCGTCTTCACCAAACAGGACTATGTCATCTGCGTATTCTAAGTCGATAAGTGGACCTCCTGGAAGGAGATCAATACCCGAGAAATCAGTTGACGAGAAAGTTATTTCCATCAGTAGATCTATGATGAAGTTAAACAAAAATGGGGAAAGTGGACAGCCTTGACGGACACCACTTGAGGTTGCAAAAGTAGATGACGGTTCGCCATAATCTCTGACTCGACTAGTAGTGTTCGAGTAAAGAGCGTTTACAAGGTTTATGTACTTCTGAGGTACGCCTTTCAATGACAGACACTGCCACAAAATCTCGCGGTCTACCGAGTCAAATGCTGCTTTTAAGTCAAGAAAGACCAGCATTGTCGGACGCCGATAAGTATGCCTGTGTTCTAGGACCTGACGAATGGTAAATATGTGGTCGATGCAGCCACGACCAGGTCTGAAGCTAGCTTGATTCTCTCTTGTTTGCAGTTCACGAGTCTTAGTTAGGCGTCTGATAATTATTGAGGCTAGTATTTTAGATATTATATTAGTTAAACTAATCCCTCTGTGGTTGTCACAGGATGTTTTTGACCCTTTCTTATATATTGGGACGATAAGTGATTGTGACCCGTTAGATGGAATAACGTCTAACTCCCAGATTTTAGATAAAATATTAGTCAACCTTATCGCTAAAATTGGACCACCATCCTTAAAGACCTCTGAAGCCAATCCATCTGGACCAGTTGCCCTTCCTCGTTTCAGATTAACTATAGCCTTTTGAACTTATGCTAGAGTTGGGGGACCTACTTCAATGTTCCATTCACACTGTCTGGGAATGGTGGGTAGTTGTAGAGTAGCTGAAGGCCAGCTGAACTGTTCTCTGAAATGTTCCGCCCATCGTTCTAAACGCCTGGACTGGGAGCAGATGAGTGTATCGTCTTTTTCCGATATAATCTCACTTACACTTGACTTATTAATTCCAGTTTCTTTTATTAGTCTGTAAAGCTGTCTTGTGTTCCCTATAGTCGCCGCCTTTTCCATCTCTTTTGCTTTCGTTGCCCACCACTGCTCACGGTTGTTCTCAGACTTTTTCTTAACCTAGATCTGATTTGTTGTCGCTCTTCATCATGTTCGGAACCTGATGGGACGAGTTTGCGAGAATCCATCAGTGTGATAGACCTTGAAGAAATCCACTAGTTCGTTGTAACTCTGTGGTTTAAGTCGCTAATAGATGTCACTGATGCTTCCACAGCTGCTTGTATTTCATTCCAAGCAACATCTGGGTCAGCCTCGTCTTCACAACTGCCTAATCGTGACCTCAGTTGTTCCTGGAACCTACTTTTGGTTTTCTCGTTACTCAATTCAGTTCTAATGGGTCCTTTTTGTGCGGCTATTTGCGTCCAGTGAGGCGCAAGCAGATGCGTGTCCGTATTAGGGCATGGTCGGAGTCCAAGCAGGTACTCCAGAATGAGCGATAATCTTCTACCGACCCTCTCCAACGATGACAGATGGCAATATGGTCTATTTGAGTCCATCGTTGGTTTGGTGCAGGCGGTCGCCACGTTAGACGATGTCTCTCCTTATGCTTAAAATTTGTGTTTGCTAAAAATAAGCGATTGTCTGAGCACAGTTGCAGCAGACGGTCACCATTATCTGTTCGCTGTGCCGGAATGCTAAAATATCCACCTAAATGCCTTTCTGTTTGGTTTAAACTACCTATCTGAGCATTAAAGTCACCCCCTACGAGTACTATGTCTGAGCGTTTAGCTTTCTGAAGAAGTTCAGAAAGCTTTCTGTAAAATTCATCTTTCACTTCATCTGAGTTGCAGTCAGTGACAGCGTAGGCAGAAACAACGTATGTCTCTATCCTCCCGAATTCTTATGGAGCCGTTCCGCTGAACAACACATACACGACTATTAACGGGGATCCATTCTAATGGTGCTCGTTCTGCCCTCATGCCTAGTGCTATGTCTACACCCGTCAGTCCACGAGAACTAGCTATTGGGTCGCCAGATAAACGGAGGGTGTATCTCGTTGGCTCTCCGTTTCACCGAGGTGAGGTCAAGTGAGTGATCACACTAGGATCCTGTATGTGTGTTTCTCAGTCCTACAGGTTAGTCACGGCTCGGATAGCTCAGTGGTAACGTCTCTGACTGTGAAGCTGGGTGACACGGGATCGAATCCGCCAGGGAGCATCAGTTCCCTCAAGATTACAGGTACCCCTTGCTGACGAGTGCCAAGTAGCACGAAACCCGGGTCCAGGGTTTCCTGTTGACTACCTCCAACCACCATCTAATCTGTTTACACCTAGTATATTTCACTGAGAACATTTGGCTTGACCGAACAAAACACAACCTGCACATTCGTAAAAGTTACATACTCTATTTTAACAAATGACGTTTTGGGTAATTATGGGTAGAAAAAGACTATGAAGCATCTTGAACTTCGGCTTCAGAGCACTAGCTCAAAGTTCTGCATATATGATGACTAATGGACAAATAACAGGGGACGTGGTCATCTTAGTCTTTAAACTGAGTAGAAGTGAGGAAGAACTGAGCAAGTTGGAATTTTTTATGAAAATAAAGTGTGGCTGTAATTTTACTCAGGCTTAGTTAGCTTTTTAGATAATTGATGAATTGCACATTTTTATCCGGAGAATAAGTGTATATACATACAACCAATAGAGGGAGAATCTCGCATGGTAGGTGGAAAGGATAACTTTTTAACGCGTGCCTCTCTTACTTTACCTTTGTTCGAGTTTGTTCCCCCTTTTTGGTAGCTTAGGTTAAAAAAAATACCGGGTACTCATTGCAAAAAAGATTAACTCAGATACTTCGTCTTACTAGCTCTTTTCAGATACATTATTAGTTTGTGAGTCCCTAAATTTATCACTTTTCTTCATAGTACCTCTGCATTTGAAGATATAACTTTGATCCTCTCTACATGAGTCGCAAATTTAAATCATAATGCAACCTCAACCGACGATTTTGGAGCCTTATGCTGCAAATATATCATAGTGAAGGATTGCGGAGAAATCTCAAAAAACGTTTCTTTAACAGGCTATAGAAGCATTATCATAACAATGTGACACGTTCAACTGAGACTACGTTTTCCACCACGAGATTAAAATTTATTTTAAAATCATCAAAAATTTAGAAGTGTTCGTTAATCTTTACAATATGTATATGTTCGTGGTTCACATGCATTTACCACTCACATGTACGTAATGTTTTGTGATGGTAGCGCAACGAATTAGATTACCTCGGCATACAAGGTCAATTTCAAGTATTCCTACTGATAGTCAGATCGCTGTGGATGAAATATAAGAAGCTTCCGCTTAACGGGCTTCTGTATCTGATAGCGGTAGATCACCGATACCTCCAGCTAGGAACCTAAGTATATTTAAGGGGCAAAGGAGAAATCTTAGTAAAATATGGCGAAATAATGTCCCAAGTCCTTAGAGATGTATTAAAATTCCTTTTGAAACTCAACTGGAAAGTTGTTTGGATCACCTCATTCTTTGCCATATTACGGAGTTCGACTGCTCGTAAGCAATCGGAGTACGGTCCGTTCTACCATCCTGAGTCTCTAATTTCTGGGTGTCGCCTCAAAGGTTTGTGTTGGGACTGAGCTTAAGTAGGCATCTAAGAGGATGCCCAGGAGTATTTGATATGCTATAATTCATTAGGATGTTACCTATGAGACGCCCATAATCTAACTCGTAAGGACTCTGTGACCTAGGGCGCTCTTCATAATGCTTATATAAGAGTCCTCGATCGAATTTCCTTGATCACATTATGTTGTGTTCCAGTATATCCTTATCCCTTGGGACTGTGAAAGGTATTATTATGTTTCCATATTCTGGATGTGGCTTAATGAAAATTTCGAAAATTAAGTAGAATGTTCTGCCGTCGAACTAGCCAAAAATAAGTTTCAGTGTTACCAGTAAAAGTTTGGACGTAAAGCATTTTTGTCACAGTTAGCATAATGCATTAGATTATATAGTACCGAAATTCCTTTGTCTTTTGCAACTTGGGACACCTCCAAAAAGGAGCTACCTAAGTTGTATGGGTATCTTGCACGATGGCTCAGATGAACCACTTTACATCTTGAGATTGAAAGTAAATCTGTTGTTATCTGTCTAGTCAGATCCTCTTGAAGTGCCAGCTCATAATCCCGGATGCATACTTCTCCCAAAGTTTGACATTGTCGGCTAAAAGCAATAACCCAAACGATACATGTTTAGAAAGTCCATTTATAAATATGATAAAGAGAAGAGGTGTTACTTCTAAGCTTTGCGGTAACTCCCTGAGACGTTCCGTAGCCTGACAAAAATAGTTTACCCTTACCACAAAAAGGCTGATTATTTAGATATGAAATAAACCAGTTCACTAATACTGAATTTATACCTAGTAGTTTGAGCCTATTGATGAGATATATGGCTTACGCTATTGTGTCTGGTGCCCTGTCAAACCAACATTGGTTATTCTAGCTTCAGAGCAGACTAGTCCATTCATTCTTCTCCAATCACATTTTGACCTTGTCAATTATTTGCTTACTAATCTTGACTGTTTTATATGAGCATATGTGTGTGCATTGTTCATCCTACGCATAAGGTGTCTGTGACTTATTTTTGTCTGGCTATAATTTTCCAATCACGCTTGATTCACTCGAGTTGGCTCGCACATGCCTTCTCCGCTTTGCTCTTTCTTCGTTTCCCCTCTTCCTATTACTTGATAAACAAGTGCTTGAAGTAAATTCCTCTAACCGACGCCTAATCGCTTTCTTACTACTACCATGACACAACCAGGGTTAGCTTTGGTAATATACGGAATTGAATGAAAGCTTTATCTACATAGCATCTTAGTACGATTAAATCGGACTCAGAACTGGGTCAACAACCTTGCCAAAATTTTGAGACAAGTTGGGATATATAACATCAACCTTCGCTTCGCGATCATAAATGGTTGTCCACCTGTCCACCACAGTCAATTTTTTTACTCTACAGGACTGGCCTTTTCTGAAACTGTGTTATTGCTGGCGAAAAGAAGCTTGGTGATAGACCGTTGTATATTAGGTACTGTATAGCTTTTTAATGTATAGATTAAATTGTTACCGAATGGTAGCTTGAAGTTTGATTGCGTTAACCTCATTTGAAAATTGGTGTGATGTGCATTAGCATTCTGTTACCTGGTACTGTGTCTTGGCTTAACGAATGTGAAAACATCCCAAAAGATGGCGTTACCAAGTTTGATGCTTCTTATCTCTTTATAGAGAGGCGAATCATGTCTGGGTTGGGAGAAGTGTCACTGATAAGATGCTGCAGTTTCTGACACACCAATTCGCATTTCGGTTCACTACTAAGACTCCTCTTAGGTTGTCAGTGAAGCTATTATTGATGTGGTCCTTCTGTGACGCTTGGAATGGTTGAAAATAGCGTTCTTCCAGGAACTCTTCAGGATCACCGCCCTTTCTGGTCTGCTAATTAGAAACTAGTAGCTGAGAAACTCCGGGTTTAGGTCTTCAAAAAGAGGCGGCATGACGGGATAAAGTTCGCAGATTGAAGACGGATTTATCAACTAGGTTGTTTTCTCTTATCACTTGTGCGCAATTCTTACTCGCGTCTTTGAGCTGTCTGTATGCGCTGTCGTCACATGTTCATCTGAATTCCTCTCATTAGCACTGTCTCAGTCCTGGTGGGTTAGATTCCTTATGATTGTACGTCGCTTCTAACTTTCAGGGATCGTTTTCAGAATAGGCTGTCAAGCAGGACGTAAGATCATGTACAGCAAGAAATTCCAGTTAGCGCCCACTTCAATTTTCGTTTAGACTTCTCAGTCCATCTTCTTTATGTAGTCCTATTAAGGTGAGAAATCCAAACGTTTGAGATTCTAATGCCCGTTATTAGTAGAACATTTCGGCTCAGTTCCGCTCATAAAATTGAAGGTTATGGCAGAGTAATCACCATATTTGTCCTCCTCCTGTTCAATATATAATAAGGTCCACTCACCTATCCAACGTTCGGCTTCAACTGTTACATGATTAGGAACCAGTGCCACCAATCTCTCAATATCGGGATTTGAGTGTTTCGCAAAGTAATAAATAGTGATATTTCCTCCATCAGACGATTGCCGTGTTCATTGTAAGCAGTAGGGTTTTTGTAGATGACCTCAAGTAGACACTTTGAGGTATTGAAAAATCTTCTTGAGCACCACTTAGATTCATCAAGATTTTCTACTTAGAACGATCGTAGGTGCGTGGCTGCCTTACACATAATTCCAGTTCTCCTGTCGTTGTGAAACAAAGATATGCCAAATACTGTAAATTCCTGACCCGTGATGTGAGATCTCCATGTTTCAGGCATCGATATACGATAAACATATTGTGTTACTTAGTTTACTCGACTCATTCATTTCGTTTGGTGAACTCACAGCGTCTGTGCATAAACAGTTTATACTCTCAATTTTAAATGCGTAAGCGTCCTCGTTCTGCTTGGTTGAATGAGTTTCATATGATTGAACAGGTGACCTACCTACGAAGGGTTTTCTGAGTCAGTATTCCATGTCCTTTTTACATTTTTCCCCTGTTTTTAACAGTCCACAAGTGAAGTAGTCAGTTCCGATTTATTTTCGTGCCTGATTTTTGCATTATATGGCCCTCCTGGATACATGCTAAATTCAACTGGTAGCTGGAGCACATTAACATGAAATGCTACAAGAATAGCAGTCGCTCGTTTGGAAGAGGAGAAGGCAATCACAGTTGGTCAGAGCCCGGCATAATTTGGCTAATCGTATCACATATTGGCGCAGAATATTCAAGAACAGCTTTATGAACTCTCACTGTTATATATAGTAAACTGTACTATCGGGGTCTGTATTTTCGGAGGTGTCCTGCTTAATGATATTTCCTTCGAGAAAAAAAGCCTAGCGAGATACTCTCGAGATGTTCTCGGCGAGGTTGCGCTTAGAATATGGTGTAACTGGGAGTATACTTACATCCGCTTTGGATTTTAACTGGTGAAAAGCCCGCAGAATATCTTCAACATCATCAGAGCTAGTAAACTTTACACTTAGAAGTCTTGGGTAGGTTGAGTGTTTGGTATATTTCCCCCAGATGAGTCATATGATCGTCAATGATGCCATTTTTTGAAGCTCCAGATTCTTCTTGAAGTTTTCTATAATCATACCGTCGTTTTTGTTCTGCAAACTTAGAGGAACGTAAGAACAGTCTTTAGGGTTCATGATCGTTAGGGGTTTGTCTCAAATGTTTACTGAATTTCCAGGTTATTGATACGCTGGGGTCAAGGTCCTTTTGGCTTCGTCGATGGGTTATGGTCTAGATTCCCGTGCCTTTTCGTGACTACTTGGACAACCCTATGAGTAGAACTGGTTGTCTTACAAGATCTGGGCCGTTTAGAACTATTGATGGTAATCTCTAGTCCTTTCTAAACTCTATCACCGAGTCCAAACGCCTACGTTAAAATTTCAGAGGGCTACAGTTGCATTTGGACAGTCTTTACTGGGTAACAAAGGTTACTGATAGAACCTGGCACCGATGTTATGGTGGCACCGATTTACATCACTGGTGTTAGTGATTACTCCATCAATATTTCGAATCTTTATTCATTTGTCCGTTTTAGGATTGCTTTTTCAAGGATCACTGATAATTTGTTTCGCAAGTCTGTTAAGAGAATGGTGACGGCTCGGCAAACCCTTGCACGTCCATTGCATGTACCACATGCCCATTTCAGATTCGAATTTCTGACGCTGTAACAAGCGGTTTCTGTGAGGTCTGTGTATGTCTCATGAAATCACCCTATGCACTTGTCACGATGCATACCATGGTGAGATATAAGTTGTCAACCGAATTTAAATAAAAGCTTTTAACTGCGAAACAAGTTCGTATTCAGAATGGATAAAAACATCTATACAAACACTTAGAATGTACTAAAAATAACGTTTTGACGTGAAATATCGCAAAAACAGAATAGTAAGGTGATGCGAAACCGTTGTCTACTAATAATTCGAATGAAATTCAAAATAGAACGTTAAGTTTAGGATCGACTCCTTGCATCAAAGATGGCATTATGTTATGTGAAAGCACAGCAAAGGTTTGAAAAATGCGAATCATGTTAAGATTATACTTGCCGTTCGTAAAGCGCCCTCTATTAGAACTCCTAAAGAGATTTTCGAACTATCTCAGCTAGCAGAGAATTTCAAGACTTGACTATTCGTGAAGGGTACGAGGTATCCCCACAATCTGTTTTACCGTA